AACCGCAAACCAAAACGGTATTATGATTCAACGCGTTTAACACAGCGAAAGAACGACGATTAATCGTGAAACGTTGCGTTCCCTCGAACATCCGTCTCGTGCACGACGCGAGCTCCCCTTAAGGGTCGTATTGATTTCTATGATGGCGGCCGGCCGGCGCCTGCACTGTCCGCGTTCGAGTAACCTGAAACGGCATCCGTCTTGTTTTGTACAAGGTACGACGATGAATCGTGTACTGTGACGAATCTTAAACTGAAAATTTCTCAAATGTGAGTGGAGTATATGTTGCACGAGTTTTTTGGTTAAGTTCGAGAGAGAATTAATTGCTTGAACAGCTCGAAAATTCCGACGACGAGGATGCCTGTGTGCTTGCGAGGTCCTTGACGCGAGACCACCACCGGTGCCCATGTTCCTGAAATGAGTTCCGTGGCACTTTAATAATTGACGGTGAGTAATTTTCATGAAAGAAAGAAAGAAAGTATTGGTTATCAGGAATAAGATTGATATTTTTGATGATTTCGCATGGAAGTTCGTTGTCCTGCAGATTCTAGCGTGACAATCGAATTGGTTGTGATATGTTGGTTATATCGAGTGGCTTTTTTATACATATGTCTCTGCATATGCTTGCACATGGTACACTTAACCTCAATCCTTACGTACAAGCAACTCGAGATGTTTTATTGATAGACATTCTTTATCATTTTACAACCATGATCGATAAATTTACATTTACAAAAATTACCGTAATAGTTAGACAATAAAAATTCTCTATCGCTGTTTTTATTTTTCACGCAAACTTTTTTTTTATTTTAACTAGTAAAAAATTATCGTAATGAATATTTGACAAAAATTTGCTGATTTTCATTCTTTTTTTTTTCATATTTATTGATCTTTATTGCGTCATTGGAATTTTTAATATAATGTAATTGGGAAATTTAATTATAAATTAAAAATTGTGGCAAAGTTTAACTCTTGAAAACGGTAAAATAAGACGAGAAAAGACGCGTTGGTGTGAGGGTGAACATAGAACAAAAGAGCACGCGGCAACAAAGGACGCGGCTTTCGAAATGCCTGAGTATGTACACCGGAAGTGTACGTATTGATGTCATTTATTTTTTTTATTTTTTACTCTAGCATGGTAAATTTGCTCCACGGACAATGAAAAATTAGGTACACCTTGTGAATGTGAAATAAAAATTGACAAATTTGATGAAAATTCGAATTTTCAAATTTATTATCTTGCTGACATATTTTTATTATTATTACTTTGTAATTATATTGTTCAAAGGAGAACCGATAGTGTATAGATAATAGAAATGACAGAAAAGTGAATTTACTTAAGTGTAAGCGAAGAATCAAACGTTTACGTAACCATAATATGTCGTATATATGTACATTTTCTTTCCCTGCGACGGTCTTTTTAAAAAAAAGAAATTGTATTACGTAAAACGACACCACGTGATCGACGTTCGTTTACTTGTCAAACAGTTGTTCTGGTTCTTGTTTAAAGCACGAAATCGACGGAGGGATTAAAAAGAATATTTTATTCGAACAATATTGCTGAGTTGTCATTCATTTACAATTACTTAAACTTCAACTTAATTCTTTGGAATCGAAATAAATCTAATTATAAAACTTAACCTCTAATACCTATTTTTTAATACAGAATCGAAAGGAGATATTATTAAGAATGAAATTTATCAGTAACAGTTCCAAACTACTCTCAAAACACACTTATAACTTATATTCACATCTTAACATGTTGACAGTTAGTTATAAATAAATCACTGTTATCACAAGTTTACTACACTGTACTCGTAATCTCGTATACTTGGTGTTTTGGTGTGTTTAATTTTAAGTAACTTTCGTTGTCCAGTCACTCGAGTGGAAACACTATAATCTTTAAGTTAAACAAATTACGTTGACGATTAGATGAACGTAAGTATCTCGGCATGCTCGTTGCGTCCGGGAGATTTCACTGCTTTCGCTGCTTCTTTTATTCGCCGCTTCGAACGCTGCAAATGCAAATCGGTTCGCGGAGAAATCTGTCGACAGGGAAATAAAGAAAGAAGAAGTGTCGATCGGGGAGGAAAAAAGGCACGCCAAGCGTAACAGCGGATCGATTACAGGATAGATTACTGCAATGTTTCACACAGTTTTTATCAGTAATCGTGCAGGAAGAAAAATCTCAGAAAGTTCACTACATCTACTTGCTTGCAATCGTTCACTTCGATATTTGTGATAATTTTTAAATAAAATTATTAAATACATTTGGGATTTATCATAGTAACCATATTTATATTATATGTAACAATTTTTTAAGTAAAGGACTTTTATGATTTTTAGGTTAGGTTAGGCCGGATAATTCTTAGATTTTTAGGAAGATCAAGTGATTGTTTTATTTTCGTTGTATATTATACATTATAATTTTTTAAGGTTAGATTAAATATATTTCTGACATCAATTTTTTGTACGTTTAGTTGTATGAAAAATTTATTGTCTAATTAAATAAGAAGAAATTGTAGTTACTATCTTTAACTTAGGTGCAATTTAAATTTGTTATATCCTTTCTACTGATTCAAGCAACTTTCACTCAAATCGGTGTTCAAAATAATGCACAATATAGCGAGGTATATGTGATTTACTCGTATGATTAGAACAGTAGAGAGTAGTAGAGTGATAGAAATTCAGGGAAAACAGACTATCTGTAGCCAAACATGTTTTGCAATTAATATAACTGAAAGTATAGTGGTAATCTTGTGTAACATTTAATTACAATTATTTTTAATGAAATTTTATTTATATTTATACAAAAAATAATAAGATA